AATTAATGTACGCCATGGAGAGTAAATTGCTTGTTGTCTTAAACTATTGAAAACCATAATTTAAACACTCTTGAGACAAAAAATTGAATTGCTCATTACACACAAACACTTAATAATCAACTAACTAATCATGTTAATAGAGGGATAAACTCTTGATGTTGCAAGACAGCAAGTTACTAATAATAGGAACAAAATCGATGTAATTAAAACTGGCAAACGGTCAAGCAAGGCAACTATAATTATTCATATCCCTGTGCATGCTGGGAAAAGGACAAATGGGAGTAAACCACAAAACTACTTTTTCTGTGTACTACAGGCCTATTTGAAATGCATTAGTTCAACTCAACTCTGTGCTTGGTGGTTCAGCTTCAAAAATCAGAGTATTTTGTAATAGAAAAGCTGCTTTGATGTGCATTATTTGTGTTCCTGAAAGTCCATAGGAGTTCAGAATAGCGAGTAAAACAAAATAAGTGCACAAATCTTTGGCTATTTTTTCAGCATTATTATTATCTACACCTGTGTTTATTTTGTTGGAGTTATTAGTTCCCTTTTGAGTTGTGCATCGTCTTTCCTATTATTCCAGAATATAGCTGAGAGTTTTCTCTCACAGTGATGTCATGCTCTGAAAAAGACTCGTGTAGATGAACGGTGGCTGAGGCAAATACCACAGTTGAATACATTTCCTTTTATGATGCCGTTGTTGAAATGTGTTGAGAGTATGACAGTCTAGGCCACCGTCCAGTGTGTCTGCTGAAGATGTTTACGGTCTATTCTCAATTAAAATCCCATGGTTGTTCTTCTACAGCGCTACTCTCGAGCCATGTTTGGAGCTGTTTGCTGTGATCCTGGTGAGCTTTACTCTCTCTCTCTGCCCACCTCTGCCATTTGTTGACAAAGCAGACGTCAAACTGTGTTATGTAAGAGCCCCCCCTCCCCTCCGGCCCCTTCGCTCCAGCTACAGCAGGCCCCTTGTAGATCTCCTTTGTGTATTAAAGCTGGACTCTTTAAAAGCTGTCATGGAAATTGAATGAGGCGATCCCCAGAGATTCTTGGGTGGAATATCATGGTACTTTTTCTTGTGTCACCCCCTTTATTATTTTAATAGGACTGGCATAGTGTAATGGAAAACCATGAGGGATGTACAGTACATGATGACCTTCAGCTGTGCTTTAGAATCTAATGCTGTGACTTACTAACTTTTTGTTGGAGAGTTCTCACAGATTTTATTTGAAAAGTCTTTTATTATGCCAATAGTTCTGCCATCAAAATCCATAATATCTGGCTGAATTTCACAGGGTTTCCCAAGTTCTTAAAAGGCTTTCAGCAGCATTATTGATATGCAGGAAATTTTAGACGTTCACAAGACAGAGGCGTTCCTCACAGAAATGAGCCAGTGGAAGGGAGGGAATTCAGCGAACAAAAATGTGAATTTAGATTTTTTTATACTGTATATATGTAAAATATGTAAGGTTATATTTAATAATATATCATTTAACATCAACCTAAATCAAACAAAACAAACTTCAAATAGTTACCACTGTTTACAGTGTGTTATTGATAATATTCTGAATTAAAAACAGACTGTGGCTGAAAAATGGGGTGAGTAGAGCTAGTATGCTATGTGATAATTGCAATTTAGGAGAAATGCTCATAAATGTGTGTTAGCAGGATGAGGTATTTATTTCATGATTATTTCATCTGTGGTTACCAGATGATAAGATGTAACATAAAACCCTAATGTACATAACTGATAACAAAAAAGTCAATTTATGGCTTTTCACTGTAAATTATAAAGTGACTTGTTCCTTTTTGCTTCAAAAAACTGTACATTTAACAGTATTCAGTTTTACTATAAAATTACATGAAGTGTCCCGTTAGATCTATTACAGTTTTTCACCATAAATTAGGCCTGGGCAAAAAATTTAATGCGATTTTCATGCTCATCTCGTCAGTAAAGCCGGTTCTGTGATTAGTAGTAAATCTCCAGCACGTGCTTTCAGATGGAGCAGCATTTACTACACAGAGCCGTAGTTCACTGACAAGCTACGCAAAATCGCATTCTCTCTGTCTGACTTTCCTTTTACTTAAAAGAAGGTCAGGACTGTCTAATTAAATTAATGAATAGAATTGTATTCTGATTAATCGTAATCACTATTAATAATCATTTATTAATATTTGTTCTGTTTAAAAATATATATATATATATATATATATATATATATCTTCACAGTCACTGTAAAGGTGGAGTTTCATTTTGTAAAACAAAAAAGTTTGTCTTTATAAATAAAACATTAATGTTTTGTATTGGACTTGCAGTGAGCTAAAACGTTCAGAAATGTAAGAGACTCCGTGGAGGAATTGATTTATTGAGCTACTAAGTGCCCCTGCAGGACGACCCTTTTCTTACCAATAACTACATGAGCCAAAGCTGTGGACCTGAGAGTTACAGCTTGGCCTTGAGTGAGATTTGGGCCACTGTTTTGGTTCTGAAACAAAGACTTGGACCCTTGTCTGACATGAGCCTTTCCACTGTGGCTCTGTTTTACAGCTTTGCCCCGAGAAGGCTAGCTGGACTGAGTGCAACAGTTACCAAGCACAATGCAACAAGTTTCCAGCAATTTGTCTGTTCGCATGATTTGTCTGTTTGAACACAAATCTGTTGCATGACATGACAAAAAATACAGCTGATTAAAGATATTTGATTTAATATATGGGGAGCATGATTTTGGACTAAAGAGAGACCATTTGTTGTGGTCAAGGCTGGCTTGGACATATAATAAGATTTCGGTTTTGTTTGTGTCACAGATTTGAGACTCAAACGTACAGTATATGGTTTAATTTCTAGCATGGCTTTTAAATCTATTTGAATGACTGTGTTGGATCTATTTTATTTTTAGCGGACTGGACGAAGACTGTAATCATAATAAGTGTTTTTAATACACTTGAGTGGCCTGAACTGTCAGTGTTTATGCCTTATTGCCTTTGACCTTGATATGACCACCCAGATCACTGTTTACTGTGAGAAAGTTGTGTCTAGTCCAACTTGGCCCATGCCCTATATTCTGATACTCCTCAAATCAAACAGTCAACAGTAGTGGTTCAACGGATCAAGAGTCTTAACTTTGATAAAGAATATCTCTTTGGTTGACTGACTTTAGTCTTTGCAACTTCAGGGATCTTATCTATGTACAATCAGCTTGTAACACTCCAAAGAGAAAGGAAAACTTGAAATCGCATCATATGACCCCTTTAATATAGTTCATAGCCTCATGAGGTGCTTGGCATGCCAGACAGGGATGGAGAGGTGGATGGATAGCAGGGTGCTTTAATTCGTTCATGACCTGCTAAGTAGGTGCCACATTCCCAGGTGGCAGGTGCTGAAAGGTCCATATTGGTAGTTGAAAGAGGCAAAGCATTGTTAAGGTTCAGCTCTTTGAAGAGAACAGAACATGATAGTTGGGATTTTTGTGATAGGCCACAACAAAGGATATTTAAAAGGGTGCCCTCAATGTTTGGGTGCTTGTTAGGTCTTTAAACCAAGTTAAGCTCAGCTGAGGTTCTCTGAAGGTGAAGGTCCTTACAGGTAAGGTGAATCGGAATGATATTAACAAGATTAATGTGCAGAAATAAATCTGTTTCATATGATTATTGACTATTATGGCTTTGAATTTAGTTACTAAATCGCCTCAAAGCTTAAGTTAAATCAGGGTTATTAGCATATCTTCTACAAAGGCAGCATGTGGAGCAATTCAGAGTATTAAGGATCCTCAAACCGTGTGACTCTTGATTGATGCATGCAGCTGTTATAGTTGGACCTGTTTTTAAAATTACAGTAGAAAATGATACCCACTTATCTAATTCAGTATACTATATAAACATTTAAAATAAACAGCATATTTGTGTATTATTGAATTACACAATTGCTGTTACGTAACTGTTCAACAACTAGGATGATATCTGTTTTCAAGTGGGTAAATCCAGTGCTAACAGCCTTTTCTGTAAACATCTGAAAGAGTCTTCTATCTATATATATATAATATATATATATATATATATATATATCTCATATACTTTCATTACGATATAGGCTCCATTAATTTATCTAAGTTTAATTATTTGGCTAATTAACTGGTTCTGATTTCCTATAGACAGTAACTGTAGGCTAAGTCAATGAGACAGAACATATCGCATAGAGACAGATGGCTAATGTTTACATTGGGATCCATTAGAAATGTTACAGGAATACCTGCAATTATCCAGGACCTCTGTAATATTTTGTATGTCTAAAGAAAGCTCTCGTTTGGCAAATAGTAATTAGTATCTAAAATACTAATCATTATCTAATTTGGCAGATACTTTTATCCAAAGCAATTTACTCATTTGTTACAGGGCAGAAACATCTGTGCTAGAGGGATATCCATTGGCAGCTACTGAAACATATACATTTTCATTGACCCATATTTTCTTACTCAGCCAATGTTCTGTAACAGGTCACTTTGTATCTTGTTTCAGTGTGAACCACAGCCATAGGTGTGACACATCAGTTAGAGGGATTGTCAGTCTCCTCATGCATCAGCAGCACCCTCACGCTTATCATATTAGTAGGATTGTTTGTAATGTTATTCAGGCCTAAATATACCAAGCAAGTCAAGCAAGCAATTTCAACAAATAGGCCAGGGTTTTTTTTTTTTGGTGATCACTGCTTAATTGTCATACTTTTCGCTAGGGCTGGGCAGCAGGACGATATATTGTGATAACACTTTTCAAATTGTAAAATAAGATTTTGGTTATATTGCCCACCCGTACTTTTTGCACCAGCTTTTTTGCAATTGTAGGAATGCTAAGGAACATATCTTTAAGGTGTTGTTGTTGAGTTGCCGAAATCTTGATTGCCAGCCACTCAATATTCTTTGTTCTCTTTCCTGATGACTTGCCGAGCAATACTGTTCCCTGTCTCAGCATCTCCCTTCATCTCTGCTTTCACCCATTTTCATTTGCAGGGCTCTCCAGCAGAGGGCACAGGGAAATTTGATGCAGCACCTGGTAAGCGTGCCACATTTTCAGTATCTCCATCCAGTTTCTTGAGGTTACACCAGCCTAGCTGGCCTTTAGTTACAATTAAATGGGCATGAATGAAACATGCAATACAAAACAATTACAACACAGATATAGAAAACAACTGAAATATATGATACCGTATGATATTGTTTAAGCCTCTTTTACACCGTTTAAGCTGTAACACCGCATTAAGTAATACATAAAAGACAGTAGCAAGGAATAATAGCTGTCTAATGTCTTGATGCAGGAGGCTCATGAGTAAGCAATCACAAACATACTCTCTCTGTCTTCTTCTCTGGCTTGAGTCATTGTTGAATCAGTATTCTCACTGCCAGCCCCCCTATTTCCTTCCGTTCATCCATCTTTCCTTGATATTTGTGCCAACCTTCAGAGAACACTGTGATTACAATCTTCCTAGAACTTAAAAAGCCCTCAGGTCTCTATATGACCATTATTAGTGCTGTTGTTCTCAATAAAGTCTAACAATAACTCAGTAAAACTAGCTCAGTGGTTCTCAACAAGTGGGTCACAAAATGTCACAGAGGAGGTTAAAAACAATAATAAATGCAATTATAATTGCTCTACTTGGTTTCTTTTTTTGTTTACCACATCTCATTTATGGATGTATGTGTCTTGCAGCATGTCCACCCTGTCGGCGCACTGTATCTGCTGTGCGAGTAACACCTTTGAGAATCATGAAGAGTTCCCCTGATCTCATGCCCACTGGTAAGAGCAGCATTTGTAGTATTTGGGGGACTAACGTTATGAGTAATATCAAATCAGTAATATAAAACTTTATTTAGTGCTTTGAAAGAATTTCTTTGCTCTATGTTTTTGCAGAGCTGGACCCTACCCGTGTTTGCAAGGGCAAGGGTGCTGTTACTTTGAGGGCCACACTAGTGCATATCGATGATGAGGACGGCAAAAGCCAAGAGCTATCCAAGAACTCTGCCAAAAGTGAGTTGGAAATGTAGGATTTATCAATAGGAGAGTGCTCTGAATATATTGCACAAAGCATAACAGTGCCAGACTAATTGTTGTGTGCTGTCATAATGTTACTTATGATATGTTTGTAGTTGCAGATAATGTGCACTAAATGTGCTTTTATTTTTTACTGTACACCCATTAACTGGAAAGATTTCTGTTTACAGGAACGGTGCTTTCTTGAGTTTCCTCTTTTCCTATTACTGAAAAGGTCCATGTTATGTTATTTTAACAGTCAATTGACATGATGTGGTTAGTTGCTAAATTGCACAGTAAATTAGACAGATTTGTATTTTTTTGGAACATACACAGCATTGTCTGACAGTCAACTTCATTGCTTTCATTATCATTCTTAGTGATTTTAATAAAGCTAATCTCACCCGCAAACTGCCTAAATACAGCACATCACATGCCCCACCAGGGACAGCAATATACTGGACCATTGCTACACAGTTTTAAAGAATGCATACCACTCTGTCCCCCGAGTGGCTCTGGGACTCTGATCACTGTTTGGTTCATCTTCTACCAGCCTACAAGCAGAAACTTAAATCTGCTAAGCCAGTAGTAAGAACTGTGAAGATATTGACTAATGAAGCAGAATGGGATTTACAAGCCTGCTTTGACTGCACTGATTTGAGTGTTTTTGAGGCTGCAGCCAATGATCTGGATGAGCTCACTGACACCGTGACATCCTACACCAGTTTCTGTGAGGACATGTGTGTTCCAACCAGGACTTATTTAATATATAACAATGACAAACCTTGGTTCAGTGCAAAACTCAAACAGCTTCGCCAGGCCAACGAGGATGCCTACAGGAGTGGGGACAAAGCCTTGTACATACAGGCCAAATAAACACTGAATAGGGAGATAAGAGTAGCTAAGAGAAGCTACTCTGAAAAGCTGAAAAAACAGTTTTCAAGCAACGACCCTACATAAGTGTGGAAGGGCCTGAAAGCCATCACCAGCTACAAGACCCCGTCCCCCAGTACTGTGGAGAATCAACTTTTAGCTGACAGTTTGAATTAGTTTTTACTGCAGGTTCGAAAAGCCTGGTCTCACACCCCACACCCACTCTGACCGTCTCACAACACAGCCATCAACACCCTCCCTCCCTCCCCGCTACTGCTTCTCAGCCTGCACTTAAGATCTGTGAAGATAATGTACGTAAAATCTTCAGGAAACAGAAGATAATGAAAGCCAAAGACCCAGACGGTGTTTCTCCAGCTTGCCTTAAAGCCTGTGCTGTCCAGCTTTAATGCATCTTCACACTGATCTTCAACAGATCACTGGACTTGTGTGAAGTCCCCTCCTGCTTCAAGTCAAGTCAAGTCACCTTTATTTATATAGCGATTTATACAATACAGATAGGAAAATAGTTGGTCAATAATGCAAGAGGACAATAACAAACAGTCAATTTTTCAGTTAAAGTCAGTTCATTGATAATTCAGTGATGTCATCATCCAGTTCTGCTCTCTTCTAATAGTGTCTGTGCAATCAAGCCGACAATCTTTTGTCAGAAATTAAGTGTCCCCAACTAAGCAAGCTAAAGGCAACAGTGGCAAAGAACCAAAACTTCATCGGTGACAGAAATGGAGAAAAAACCTTGGGAGAAACCATGCTCAGTTGGGGGGGAGGCAGTTCTCCTCTGGCCAGATGAAACCAGCATGGTGTGGTTTTATTCCAGGCTGCAACATAGGTCAGATTCTGCAGAGGACTTGTCTGGTTCCCGTGGTCTTGTCCCGATTGCCGTAGAGTTGACAAGGTCTTCACAGGGTATCTGTCTCTGGGGTTCGTCTAGTTGACATGGTCTCCGCTGACATTAAGGGCTGTAGAGGTCGTCTCTAGGTGCTGATCCACCATTTGGTCTGGATATGGACTGGATCTGGGTAGGGATGTGCGGGTCATTTCGACTAGTCGACTAAACGGTACAGCTCCTGTTAGTCGACACCGAAAACAATAGTTGATTACACGACAGAAAAAAAGAAAAACAAAAACATGATTTTATCATTCAAATTACCATCATTTTAACATTGCATTTAAAACATTTTAAATAACAAGTTAAAATAAAACGTTTGAAAAATAATACATTATTTTTAAAAGTTTATCTGGGCGGAAACTAAATTTTTACCTCAGACCTCACATGCGTTTTCTTCGTCAGTTGCGGCGAGTTCAAAAATGACCATGCGAAAGATGAGAAGGTGTGGGATTATTTTGAATTAGAAGGAAACGGAAAAGTTTTGTGTAAACTGTATAATGTCAAATTGTCTTACAATAACTCTACTGGAGCGATGCGTAATCATATTCAATACAGGCACGTAGGCATTAGTTTAGAGGCTGGCCAAAGCCAGCAAGTGTCAAATCACGTCATTCACTACAACCCGCCGGCGCTGTGATCCCGTCCGCGCCGTCTATTCCTCTAACGAAGACCCACTTCGGTGGTGGTGCGGGATGTCCAGGCACTGGGTTTCTTGCTTTTAGACTAGTCGACTAGTCGGATACAAAACTTTTGTTTAAACGACAGTCAAATTAGTCGTTGCGCACATCCCTAGATCTGGGTGGCTACAGTGACCATCTGGTCTGGAAGAGGACTGGATTTGGGTGAATACAGTGACCTCAGAATAAGAATAAAACAGACTAATATTAGCGTAGATGCCATTCTTCTTACGATGTAATGAGTACATCGGGTGTTATGGGAAGTGTTCCCGTTTCCGGTTGACTTATTTAATGCAGCCTAATAATCCTTTAACGGATTTGAATTATAGAAATGTGATAGTGTGTTATGTGTATGCCAGGTTAAAGAGATGGGTCTTTAATCTAGATTTAAACTGACAGAGTGTGTCTGCCTCCCGAACAACACTAGGTAGATTGTTCCAGAGTT